ATTTAGTGGAGGTGTTGGTGCTTACGTTGTTGTACATTTCTCCAGAAGGATGGAAGTACACTTTATAAATTGTGAAAATCTTGTAAGTAGGAGAGCAACAGCTTGACAAACAATTTGAATAGTTTAAGTCTTGTCTAAAGTCTTGTAGAAGAGTCTGCTGATGAATTTCTCTTGTAAAGTCAGCAACTCACTGGGCTGTGTGTGCTGGAGGCTCGTTGGCAACTTAAAATGTCTTTTTGAAAACATCGCTCACCAACTAGTCCCTCCTGTCCCAGCAGGATGAGATAAAACATGTTATGATGGTAGGAGAACTCTGGGGTCCTCTAGTTTCCCGTCCTAAACTCGTCTTTAACTGGTGACAGATTAAAGCTCCTGATGTCAAATTCTGAACAACCCATCATGTAATCGCGGCCCGTCAATAATAAACCTTTCACCTCGTCCACAGTACGGCTGTCCTGGAACAAACTCTGCAGCGTTGACCCAGTCCTGTCCTGATCCAGGTGTTAGCCCACTGGGTTCAGGTTCTGATGGGCCGGCCTGTGAGACAGAAGGCAGCGGCAGCGTCTGGGTGGTTGGCAGCTCCTCTTTCTTTTCAGGTTTACTGTGTTCAAATCTGAAACACATCAAATCAGAAATAATTACTGTATTACTGGAACATAAAGTAAGTTACAGGAGGAAGTAGAAATCCTGTGGTCAGATTACAGAGAACAAACATCCTTTATGGTTTAGTAACTGTCGGAAACCTTTAAGCCTAACCTGTGGCTTACTTTATTATTTACTACATTAATTATTTATGAGTTCAGAGTGCCATGGAGGAGTGAAGTGAATCAGACAGACTGAAGGTTTATTTATCAACTTTCTCAGAAAAAAACAACTCTTAGGAACCAATCCTGTAACGCAGGGGTGCCCAACCAGTCGCCCTCCAGCTGATTCCCAGGTGCCCGCACAGCGCAACCTTGCTGTGGAGCCTCTAGCACCGGCTTTGAGCGTCGCATCCCGGAGTGGCTGGTCTTGTTTGAAAGCTCTGGTTTTGCCCTACAAGGTGAAAGTTGAATGAAGTCCCTGCAACGTTCCCCCGCGGAGCAATACCTCCAAAATACGCACCGTCTGACCTTCCGTCTGTGTGATTTCAGCCCCCCCTCCCGGGCTAGGAGCATCGGATCCTGGCGTGGATGGTCAGGTTTTAAAGCCCTAGCTCTCCCCTACAAGGAGAAAGTGGAAGGAAGTCCCTGCGACGTTCCCCCACTGAGATATATGCAAAAAACCTCCAACATTATGCACCGTCAGACCTCCGCCGGGGGTGATTTTAGCCCCCCTCCCCAGGCTAGGAGCATCGGATCCCGGACTGGCTGGTTGGGTTTTAAAGCTCTGYTTCTGCCCTACAAGCTGATACTTGAATGGAGTCTCTGTGATGCTGCCCCGTGGAGCTATAAGCAAATTGCGCACGACTTAGTGCATTTTACGCGCATTTTTTGGGAGGAAATTTCAACCTTTGTTTGCTTCTCCTGCAGATCTGGGAAAGTGAGATGACTTTGGAAAGCTTCAGTCCTCCTCTACAAACTGAAAGTGGTTGCAAGTTCCTGGGACATTTCCCCGCGCAGCTATTAACCAACGACCGGCCGAAAAAGGCGCTTTGGCGGGCGATATAGTACTCAATTTACTCCGGAGCCTCTAGCGCCGGCTCTGAGCGTCAGATCTGGGCGCAAGATGGCTCATTTTAATGTTCTGGATCTCCACTACAACCTGTGGTTGCTAGTTCCTGGGACCTTCCCACGTGGAGATATAAGCGATCAAATGTCGTCAGGCGAGCTCCGGCGGGTGAAACGGCTGACTTCCAGCACGGGGCTGCTTGTGCTGATGCAGGGGAATAAAAGGAAGAGATCAAGTGAGGTGGAACCGTGGTCCTACATCCAGCACCCGCTCTCCTGCCTGGATTCAGCCAGAAACCCCTGGCGGGCGATATTTCTGCAAAAATGCATAAAATTCAGAAACCCCCTGATGGATCACTTCCAGGCAATAAAAGGAACAGATCTGATCAGGTGAAACCGGTCCTGGAAGCTCAGCACCGGGTTTTATAACAGCCTGCGAGAGTTTTATATTGTGTGCTTTGACTTTGAACAAAAGGGCAGTACTCTTGTGGTAGCCATGTTGACCCTGATAGATTTTTGTTTTTGTTTTTCCTCCCCTGCATGGAGAGAAGAGAGGAGACTTCTTTGAATAAATGGAGACAAGATCCCATGCTCCAAAGTTTTTTGACTCTGCGGTTCTCACTGGGC